AAGCATACTTGTGCAATGCATGAATAAGATCCCATAATCCTACCCAAGCTAAGTAAAGCTTATTGAGTAACCATCATTCATAGTTTATGTTCTTGTTCATATTCTTTTCATGGTGGGATAAGCCTTAACCGACATAGACCATGTGAGCTTAACATGGAATTCGGTGTCATGCCCCACACCGAAAAGAGGTGTCCTACTTTCCTAAAATAGAACTAACATGTATTAGATTTTAGGTGGATCCACTAGCTAAATAACCTATGGGGGCACATAGTTATGGGGTAAGGAGATTGTTACTAGAAATCCGGACTCAACTGTGGTAAAAGGTTTCCATCTCATGAGATACATGTTTTGGGAACCCAGACTCAACTGTGGTAGAAGGTTCCATCTCATATTTAATTTCCACTCGGTGCTAAGCATTACTTCCCACAATTTCATATTTAGTCTTGATTCAAGTTCATTATTATGGAAGAATGCCTTGACACTCAATCCTTCATGGTTCATGAGATAGCTCTTAGATTCAATAGGTGAGAATAGCCTTTCAACCTTAGAATCATTGCATTGTGATAAAACCTTTCACATCATGTTCATTATGTGTTTATGAGAATGACCTTTCAATCAACACAACAATTAGAATATAATCATGTTCATAAAGCATATTATACAATGAGCCCACAATCATGTATAATTCTCACGGTTCACCCCTCTTGGGTCAAGGATCACATTCCATAACACATCTAGACTTACTACATTAGATATGGATAATAACATGATTCAATTAACTAAATTACTACCAACATAATCTCATAGTACTCTTCCTTCATCAATTCACCCACATCACAAAGACATAAATTGGGGGATATGGGGTTTCATGGGTTCTTGGGATAATTCGTCATAAATCAACAACAAATCATTAATTCAATCATAATCCATCATAAATCAACCAATTAAAATATTTTTGGAAAGAACCAATAAGATTGAAGTCAAACCCTAACTTTTGGGGAAAATCACTAGTTTAGAAATTTAGTTTGGAAGGGATCCATGGGTGAAAACTATCCATGGATGAAGGACTATCATACCTTAGTTATGATTCTCCAAAGAAATTGAGTGAAATAGCCTTGTTTCTTCAAGCCCTATCTCCAATTCTACTTTTCTTCTTCTTTGAGTTCTAGAGAGAGAAATTTTGTATAGACGATGAACTTTGTGGTTTTGATTTGAGTGTTGGGAAATAATGGAGTGAATGGGTGTATTTTGACTTAAAAAGACTTTTATAGGGTCTAGGATTAGGATTATAAAATGATTTATTTTAGGTATTAGATGCATAGGAAATGTCCCATATAACCTAGAAAACGTTAACTGACGGGTACGTTTCAAGGATAGCTTTTAGCGGCCATTCTTTGATTCATGGCCAGTAAAGGCTCCCGTGAACCAGAGGCCTGCAATTTTTTTCTAAGTAAATCTGCACAGGTGGGTCTACTGTCTGTGGACCATTCTACCGGCCGTGGACACGCCCATGAATTATTGCCTTAGAAATTTTTTCTTCAAGGACGGGTTCACTGATCGTGGACTCTTCCACCGTCCTTGAACCCTTCCAGGACCCTTGCCTTAGAATATTTTTCACAAGGCTTGGGTTCAAGGATGGGTTCACCGGCCATGGACTCTTCCACTGTCCTTGAACCCTTCTTTAGTACCTTGCCTTAGAATATTTTTCACAAGGTTTAGGTTCAAGCAGGGGTTCACCGGCCTTGGACTCTTCCACTGTCCTTGAACCCTTCCTTAGAACCTTGCCTTGGAAAATATTTTTCACAAGGCTTGGGTTCAAGGTTGGGTTCACCGGCCGTGGACTCTTCCACCGTTCTTGAACCCTTCCTTGGACCCTTGCCTTAGAATATTTTGAGGTGTTACAGTATTTGAAGAGGATCATATTGATATTCTGGATAGCAGGTTTGAAAGCTTTAGGCTAAGGATATTTCTTTAGTGAATGTGTAGTGAAAACACTCTTCAGCTCGAGAGGTGACTTGGAAGATATAGTCCAACATGCATGTCAGATATCCACATCTCTTTAAGGCTTTAGGTACTGTCTTTTACATTATGTTTGAGAATGAATATGGTTTTTAGTGATGGATAATGTAATGACTCGGTTGGTGATTTTTAGAAATTTTTATAAATTTACCATTTTACCCCTCCCGATAGTGATCTCGAGTAATTTTTTATTGGACTTTGAAATTTGTTTTGAGTTTCGAGTTAGGAGTTATGAATTGTGAAAATTTTAGAGTTTTGGAAGGCTAAATTTTAAAAAAAGTAGTTTTCAATGTCTGTTGGGAATTTTGGGTCTGAAAATGAAGAAATTGGTCTAAGAAAGTTGTTGGTTTCAGATTTGGTCCTTTTGTGGATTTGAGGTCGTATGTTGGAATTTATTGAGATTTTAGCCTTTCAGTTGACTTTGGTAATTATTCGGAGTTTGAATGCGCCTCTACAAACGGGAGAGCTCCCATCTCAATATCCTCTCGATGCTAAGCGTAAATCCCACGGAATAGTCATTTTCTTAACTTGTTTTTATTATCCATAGAAGGGCAAGTAAATCAACTTCCCTACAAGACTTTGTTACAAGCCTTTATATAATCTTTTGGAGCATTGCACAATCTATGATATTGGTGTAGCCACTCGTTTATACCCTAATTTTTCTGTTTCTTTCGGCAAATCAAGCCCATATTTTTTTGGGAAAATAAAGATTCCTTGTTTTGAGTGTGCCACTTCGATTCCCAAAAAATACTTTAATGTACCAAGCTCTTTGATGTCAAATTCCTTGAGTTAACACTTTTTCAAATTTTGTATCTCCTCTGAATCATCACTTGTTACTATGATGTCATCCACATAAATAACAATGTTGTCAGCTTTCTTGTTTTTGAGTGTCGTATGAACAAGGTGTGGTCTGCTTGACTTTGTCGATACCTTAGCTTGATCATAACCTTTGTATATCTACCAAACCATGCACGAGGGAGGTGATTGCTTTAATCCATAGAGTGCCTTCTTCAGTCAACGAGGTGATTGCTTTAATCCGTAGAGTGCCTTCTTCAGTCAACACAACATTCCCTTCTTGCTTTCAAAACCTGGTGGCACCTCCATATTGATCTCCTCATCTAAGTCTGCACGTAAAAAGACATTTTTTTAAATCAAATTGTTGTAGGTTCCAATTAAAAACTGCAGCCAATGATAATAAGATTTTCATTGTATTCATTTTTTCCACTGGGCAAAAGTCTCCAAATAATCAAATTCCATAGGTCTGTGTATAAACCTTTGCTACCCAATGTGCTTTATATCTTTCTTTGGACCCATCTGACTTATATTTCATAGTTAACACCCATTTGCACCCGACCAACCTCTTTCCTTTTGGTAATTCCACAACATCTCAAAGCCGAAAAGAGATGTTCTATTTGCAAAGGACCATGAACTTCTAGCTTAGATGGATCCACTAGCTATGTCTTTGTAAGACAATCCTACAGAGGCACGTAGTTAGGGACAAATAGATTGCTACTAGAGATCCGTCCTCTACTAACGGGAGAGACTCCATCTCAATGTCCTCTCGGTGCTAAGTAAAAATTCCAACATAATAGGCATATTCGTAAACATATCATCATATATGGAAAAGCACAATTAAGTCACTAATCCAAGCTTAAGTCATCATAGAGTAGCTCCTTAAATCATAATACATACATGTGTGAGAAAACTTTTCACCAATCATGATTTCTTAATATGTTAAAATCTTTCACAATTCATATGATGTGAGAAAACTTTTCACAATTTTATTGATGCTTATCTTGAAAGCAACCTTAGTTCATAAACATTCTTTTCATAAATCATACATAGCTTCCATACATCATCATTCACAAGTTCATAGCATGGGTCCATGAGAAATCAATCGGAAAACGTGTAATTGAATCAAATCATTCATAATAAGATTAAAATCAAACAATTGAATCATAACAAATAGGACCCATGGAGAATTGAATGAAACCCTAATCAAACTTGATGAAATTGACTTAGAACTTGGAAATCTTTTGGGATCCAATGGATGAATTGAACCTGTTAAAGAATGACAAAAGTCCCACATCGGTGGTTAATGAGATGGGTGGACTCCTTATAAGGCTTGGGCAATCCTCCTCCCTTTGAGCTAGCTTTTGGGGTGTGAGTTAGGCCTAAGACCTAATTTAACAGAACCATTGGTGAATTCTCACATACCTTGATGATCAAAGCCCAAAAGCAATGGAGGAAAAAGGAGACTTGAAGCTTGAACCCTAGTTTCTTCCTTGAATTTGAGAGAGAATTGGGGACGATGAACTTGGATGGTATTTGGGAATTTGAGAGAATAAGAGGGTACGGGTAGAACTAGGGATAGAAAGGTTGTTATAGGACTTAGATTTAGGCTCAAAACGACATATTATATGTGTTAAATGCATAGAAAAAGACTCAAATACCCTTAAGAAATAACGGTCAGTGATCTACGGTTGGGAAGAGGAAAAAGAGAAGAAAGTACAACGTATGTTGTTAAGCTAGTTAGGATACTCATACCAAAGGTCGATTCTCCAGGATGTTCGAGACAACGATTTTTTCATCTGATAGTCTTGTATTGTATAACCTGAGTGATATGATTAGAACTGAAACATCCTTATGGCTTCCTCCCATGGGCAATTCCAACTAAGAAGTAGGAAGTATAATAGGAAATATACGAGCAGTCATCAGTCCCTGATTATTCCTACAGGGGATAGTTAACAATTTCATAAGCTTCTTTTCAGTGCCAAGTTAGCTTTGGGTCCTTCCAGACCCATCTTTATGAAAATTATTTACATATACTTGCCTTGTGTTTCAGTGTATCACCTCTACTTGAAAAAAAAAATAAGTTCCTTTCTCTTCAATTCTAGATTTTGTTTTTCTCACTAACATTTCCCCTTTTTCATTGTCATGCTTTCTTTGAAAAGGGATATTGCTTATATCGGCAAAATAAATTGGAGGAGGCTTTAGAGTCCTTGAAAGGGCAAGAAGGAAGTACTGAGTCAATGCTGTTGGAATCTCAGATTTTGTATCATTTAGGAAAGATGGGTGCATCTGTCGATATTTATCAAAAGCTCCCGAAATATTTAAACATTCTTTGTTCGCAAACAAAGATCCCACAACTATTTCATCCAATGAAGCATCTTCTCTCAAAATCACACCTGACAAATCGTCTCTTTTACTCCTCGATCTTTTTCTTTTTTTTGATACTTTTCTATTCTGGGCCCTTTTTCTCAATTTCATACCATGAGATGATTTTGTTTCCAGAGGTTCAAACTCTGATATTGGCTCAACTGGTATCGATGTCTCATCTCTTTCAATCTGCATTTCCTCTTGTTGTACAATATTGACTGCGGACAAAGAATTTTTTTCCGCAATATCAACAATGAAACGGGAAGTCTTGAAATTTGGATCATTTTCAACAAGTAAATGCAAGTAGTAACTTCCTCATCATTTGTTACTTGCATTCCTTTGCTTGTTTCTAGATTCGAGTCAAACCAAATATTTGCTTTAATCTCACCCACTTTCAGTTTTAGACCTGAAAAATCTTCTCGGCAAGACCTTCAAATGTTATCCCATCATTCACAAGAATTAGCTTGATCTCACGATCCAAATACTTGTTATCTGTAGTCCATTTGCCATTGTAAGCAATATATATGCAAACCCTATCCATCCTACATCAAATAAAACAACCAAACATACTAAATACTTGCAAGCATTAGCTTTTAAAATTAAATCTAAAATCACAAATTTCAAATCTTTCAGTGATTAAAAAGCACTAGCTTTTACTTCTTAATCTTAACAACCAAACACATTAAATACTTTGAATCAACAACAACTACGCCTCAGTCCCGAACAAGTTGGGATTGGCTCTATGAATCCTGATTTCTTCATTTAAGCTCATATTGTATCATCATCATAACAAATAAGGTCCATAGGAGTGTAAAATATATCCTCAACTAATGGCTATCACCTTGAGATCTTTTCTTCCATTGTGCCCTATCGTTAGCTAAGTCTATAATTATACCAGGTCTTCTGGGATTACTTTCTTCTATGTGATTTTAGGTCAACCCGGTCCCTTTTTAACATCTTCACTTACCATAGTTTCGCACCTACGGACCAGCACATCTATAAGTACACGTAGTGCCGGCAAAATGAGCCCATATTTTTGTAACCCGCCCATATTTTAATGGGTTGGGTGATTGACTTTTTACATTGTAAAATATGGGTTGATACCCATATTCAACCCATAAATCTTGGAGATAATCTTGTTGCTGGTCTGGTTTCTGCTGGAAGGTCTTCTGAAGTGCAGGGAACCTTGGATTCACTGAGAGTTGAAGCAACTAGCAGTTTTGAATTGGCTTACAGTACTGCCTGCTCTTTAATTGAAAGGGAGAAATACAAAGATGCAGAACAACTGTTATTGTCAGCTCGAAGACAAGTTTGACTCTAACAAGCTCTTCATAACATCATGAAAAAATTAGATTCAGTTAGTCCTGACTTGCTTTATTTGTATGACTTTTATCCATTTTCTTAACACTTGATGATGCACAATCTATGACTAGTAAAAAAACATCAGATATTTCCTCGCTTGGAAGTTTATTTTGGAGGGTTTAAGTTGTCATCAAGATGTACTTACTTTAGCAATTGATATATTCTTGTCTCTATGAACTTAAGGAGAATCTTAAGCATCTTTTATTTTCTTATTTGTGTTAACTTTTTGTTGGTTTGTTAACCCTTTAGTAATGATAGACTAACAATTTAGAACTAGTCTAATTGAAAAGATGTGGCCATTACAGTCAAAAGTGCTTGTATGTTTGGGGTTAAAATATCTGCAAAGCCGCTATATCTTCTTATTTGTTGTATGTAAAATGGAGTTTATGGTTCTTTATACAAGAAATAAAGCTTTTTTAGCCATTCCAATTTTCAGGATCATGCAAATAATGCTTCTGTGTCTTTGATTGGTTATAATTGTTACTTGCCTTTTTCTTTTAAGTCTTAATGTCTTCTCTTTGATTTGGTTTGGTTTGGTTTGGGGGGCGGGGGGTTATTAAATAGGGGGCATGTTTATATGAGGCTGTAAATTATAAGTTGCGTTTTGTAGGATGATTTCCTCTTTATATCTTATAGACAGTTGTATGCAGTTTGTTATTTGATGCCAGAGATCATAGGGTAAACTGGAATATCTATTTATGAGATGTTACAAGGGACAAACTGCATTCTGGTCTATTCATTTGGAACAATCGTATATTGATATTTTCTCTCCTTTGTCTTTTTATAAACTTTATACATTTTTAGAAGTGTCAAATTAAATGTGGTAAAATCTTCCACTTCTTTGCAATTCTCTGTGAAACTTCCAGTTTTTGCATGAATGAAATGAAAATATAGAAGAAAGATGAATATCTTACTGTGGACAATGGAATTACAGAATTGGTCAGGAAACACTAATGGAAGATAATTTCTCTCTCCCGATTCTAGGGAACACCCAAGAGGCCGTTGCATCTTATACTGATTTTGTCAAAAGAAATTTGGCCGACGAGTCTTCACTTGTGTGGCAGTAAATAATCTCACTGCTTTAAAGGGTCCTAAAGATGTCTCTGATGGCCTAAGGAAACTTGATAAGCTAATAGAGAAAAGTGATGGACCAGAGAAGTTCCAGCTTGCTCGTGGACTGGACTTGAAGCTCTCTGTAGGTTTTTAACAGGAGAATAACAGATGTTTACTAAGAAAGAAAAGAGGAGAAACAAGGTTAAGTTTTCTTTTATTGAAATAATGACTGCAATATAAATACATGAATTCATAACTTAAAAAGCTAAAGAAAAGGAGTGAAATAAGCTAACATTATCTCCAATAACTAAAGCCTAAAATATAGCAACTAACTAATCAGATTCTGCCAAATACTGCAGCCTAATTTATCTGAACTTAATCGTACTTTTAAGCTGTATATTGATACAACAGAAAGTGGAACTAATCTCCAGGTTTTGAGGCACCACTTTCAACACTCCTCCTTGACTCAAGAGCAGCAATCCCAAGCCTTTTTCTGAGAAATTCAAATCTTGCTCTAGGTAGGGCATTAGTTAAAATATCAGCAGTCTGAAAATCAGTTTTGAAGTGCACCAAGTCTATGTCTCCATTCTTTTGCACCTCCCTCAAGAAATAAAGTTTGATCTTGAAATGTTTTGTCTTTCCATGTGAAACAGGATTATTTGCAATTGAAATTGCAGCTTGATTATCAACAAAGATTTCAGTGCTCTTCTTTTGCTCCATATACAAATCTGTCAGTAGCTTCCGAATCCAAAGGGCTTGATTCACAGCTGGTGCAGCTGCAATGTACTCTGTTTCAGCTATAGATTGAGCCACAATATCTTGCTTCTTTGAACACCAAGAGAACATTCCAGAACCAAAACTAAAACAGTAACCTGAGGTGCTTCTCATATCATCTGAACTACCAGCCCAATCACTATCAGAAAACCCAAGAAACTGAAAGTCTGATGCTTTTTTTAAACATTATGCCAAAATTCGCAGTACCTTTAACATATCTAATCACACGTTTAGCTGCTTGAAAATGAATTTCGCTAGCACAATGCATATATCTTGAAAGTAAACTCACAGCATAAAGAATATCTGGTCTTGTTGCAGTCAAGTACATTAGGCAACCTATCAGGCTCCTATAAAGTCCTTCATCAACCTTTTCAGCTCCATCATCTTTGCCGAACTTCTCCTTTTGATTCATTGGAGTTGTTGTAGACTTGCATTCTTCCATTTTGAACTTTATGAGAATTTCTTTAGCATATTTCTGCTGGCATATGAAGACCTCATGTCCTGTTTGCTGAATTTCCATGCCAAGAAAGTAGAACATTTCACCAAGGTCTGTCATCTCAAAAACTTCCATCATTTCAGTCTTGAACAAATTAATCAAGTTCAAATTGCTACCTGCAACTAGCAAGTCACATACAAAGAAACAATGGTTAAATCATAATCTTCTTTTCTAATATAGAGTGTAGACTCACTGAGACTTTTTGTAAAACCTAAGCTCAGAAGATAAGCATCAATTCTGCTATACCAAGCTCTAGGAGCTTGTTTTAAGCCATACAATGCCTTCTTTAGAAGGTACACGTCGTCTTTTTTGCCTTTGATAGAAAAACCTTCTAGTTGTTCTACAAAGATTACTTCTTCAAGGTAGCCATTTAGGAAAGCTGATTTCACATCAAGCTGGTGTATCTTCCATCCCAGTTGAGCTGCTAAAGCTAACAACATTCTTATCGTATCTAAACGGGCGATAGGAGCAAAAGTTTTTGAAAAATCTACTCCAAACATTTGTGCGTACCCTTTTGCAACCAGCCTGGCCTTGTACTTGTTTATGGAACCATCAGGATTTAGCTTGTTCCTATAAACCCACTTGACTCCAATAGCCTTCTTGTGCGATGGTCTGTCAACCAGCTCCCATGTGTTGTTCTTTTCTATCATTTTGAGCTCCTCCTGCATTGCATATCTCCATTTTTCATCTTTAGCAGCCTCCATATATCCTTCTGGTTCTAAAATTGCAACATTACACCTTTGATATATATCAGAAAGTGCTCTTGTGCCTCTAACAGGTACATCATCAACATCTTCATCTAGAGATTCTCGATTTTTTTGCTTTTCATCATCTTGCCAGCTCCAGGTGTCATTTTCCACGAACTTGACATCCCTGGTAACAATGATTTTGTCATTTTGAGGTTGATAGATCCTATAAGATTTTGAGAGACTGCTGTATCCTACGAAAATTCCAGGTTCAGCCTTCTTATCCAACTTATCTCTTTTCACCTGAGGTACATAAGAAAACAAAGACAACCAAATATTTTCAGATTTATTAGCAAAGGTTTGTAACCAAACCAAGCCTCAAATGGTGTCTTCTTTTGCAAGGCCTTAGTTGGTAATCTGTTTAGCAGAAATACTGCTGTATTTGCAGCTTCAGCCCAAAATTTCTTTGGCAGTCCTTTCTCATGGAGCAAACACCTTGTCATCTCCATTAGCGTCCTATTTTTTCGTTCCACTACTCCGTTTTGTTGGGGAGTATAGGGTGCTGTTTGCTGATGCTCAATTCCCGCTTCATTACAAAACTTGTTGAATTTTTTTAAAGTATACTCGGTTCCATTATCGGTTCTTATCACCTGAATTCTGCAACCACTCTGATTTTCCACAAAAGCCTTGTATTTCCAGAATACATCAGCGACCTCAGATTTATAATTCAAAAATAAATCCAACAATATCTGGTACAATCATCAATAAAGGCAATATAGTACTTACTACCCTTTAAATATGGTGTTTTCTGAGGTCCGCCTACATTTGTGTGAATAAGTTGCAGCTTTTGCTTTGCCCTCCATGATGAATTCTGAAAAGGCAACCTTGTTTGCTTCCCATACTGACAAGCTTCACAAGCAGGCAGGTTCTTCTCAAGGCTTGGAAGACCTTCTGCTAGTTGATTTTCTTTCATGAAGAGTATAGCATCATGATGAAAATATCTGAGTCTTTTGTGCCATAGTTCTGAGTTATTTTCCAACTTGATAACTGCTACTTGCTCCTCGTCCAACAAGTTCAAGGCAAAACTCTTTCCTCTCATCTTGACCTTGAACATCTCTTTATTATCAGCATCCTTGACGACACATGCTTTTTCTTCAAACAACATCTTCAAACCATTTTCAAGTAGCTGTCCAACACTTAAGAGGTTTTGATCAAGATTAGGAACAAAAAGAACATCAACTATAAGTTTCAAACCTGTAAGGCTTTCAATTGCAACAGTTCCTCTGCCTCTCGCATCGAGATATTCTCCATTTCCAATTTTCACTTTGAAAATAAAAGATCTATCTAGATCTTTAAAGAGTTTTTGGTCGCTGGTCATATGATTTGTGCATCCACTATCAATTAACCAACTTTCAGAAGTGCTTTTTCTAGGAAAACAAGTTGCTACAAACAATTTCTTTTCTTGATATTGATTTACTGCAGCCTTAGCTTCTTCTTGTTGCGGTTGTGACTTGCATATCCTCTCCACATGGCCTAATTGACCACATTTGTTGCACTTGACGTCTGGTCTCCACCAACACTTCTGTTGAGAGTGATTTGTCTTTTTGCAATGAGGGCAGGGAGGCTGACTTCCTCCCTGATTGTTGTAACTAATGCTTGGCCCCTGCTTCTTGTTCTTTTTCCTTCATTTGTTTGACTCGTTGTTCAGTGAATTAGCTTGAAAAGCACCTTCAACAGAATCTTCTTTCCTCATTAATCTCCTTTGCTCTGATGCCTGCAAAGCTTTAACAAGTTTTGCCTAGGTAACGCTTGACAGATCTTTAGAATTCTCTAAAGAAGAAATTGTGGCTTCATATTTCTCAGGAAGTGTAACAAGAATCTTTTGAACAATTCTTTCATCAGCGAAATCCTTACCGAACAATCTCACCTTGTTGGCCACGTCGAGTAGTTGGTCTGCATAGTCTTTTATAGTTTCTGATTCTTTCATTCTCTTCATTTCAAATTCTCGAATCAGATTCATCACTTGCATATT